GCCATGCCCTAGTGCCTAGCGTCCCCCAATACGTGCTAACTGTAGGAAGGTTTTATTTTTATTGTAATCTCACACACACAAACTCTTGTAACGTAACATGAAGTTTGCAAAGTCACCTGCTAGAAAGTTGGAAAATGCCAAACCTAGGTTGGCTGTGCACCCTTAATTCTGTCCCCTTCTACATGTATCTATTATGATACAATCTTTAAAGACATGATCCTGTGCTTTTTCCTCCTTCATCCCCAAATGGGTCATTAGCAGGAAGCTTAACAGCCACAGCACAGACTTCTTCCACTTGCAGTGAAGAAATAACTGGTACTGAGAGAGCCTGGCACAGCCCTGGGGGCTGTGGTGCACAGACAGTGAGATACTTGAGGGTGTTGAAAGTTTGGAGGACTTAGGGCAGCCTCCCCCATTCTACTCCATCCCTTTTTAGCCCTATATTCTGCATTCTGTCCATTATGAGACCGTGCCATACCTCTTCTTCCCGCCCCCTCCCCCAGCCTTCCCCTTCCCCAGGACTGTGTTCTCAGCTCTTCATTCTTTTTTAGCTCTTCATTCTGCCCCCACCTTCCCTCCAGGACTCAGGAATCCTGCACAACAGCAGCCTCTAGCAGCCAGCCAAAGAAACTGAGGCTCTTGTCCATAGCCTAAGGATGTATGAGGATCCACCTGGGTTGTGGGAATGTCCAACAGGATGACCAAGTGTGTGAGTATCACATGAGATGTGTGACCCTTGGCAGCCTGTTTCAAGACCATATTATCTTCTAGGAAAGAAACTGGGTAAACCAAAAAGAAAAGGAGTACTTGTGGCACCTTAGAGACTAACCAATTTATTTGAGCATGAGCCAAATTACACTTTAGGGGTACATTGATAACCAATGCCAGGCTGCTTGCAGCAAAGCTGAGAAAAAATGTCTAGGGTGTCATCAGGGATAAAACTAGGAGTGATGGGTTGAAATTAGAAACAGAAAACTTAGGCTGAACCTGAGGAAAGAGTTGCTAATGGTAAGACCTGTTTGTGTGATTAATCATTGCAGGAAAGTGACTGACTGGCATTTAAACAAGACTGGAAAAAGCACTATAAAAGTATACTGTAGGAAATAACCATGCATTGGCAGGAGGATTGTCGATTCTAGATGACCCAGTGAGTCTCTTCCTTCTCTAACAACTATCATTTACTTAAGATGTAGACCTGGAAAGTGCAAATCTTTCCCAGATGGGTAATTTGGTAGGAGAGACAGCAAGCCGTTTTCTCAGACTTGATTATAACTGTTGGATTGGGTGGCTGTTCAGTCTCATAAAAAAGTAGTTCTGTATATTTAAATGTACAGTTATTTTTATGCTAATCAAAGGGCCTCAGATCAGTTTTGCAAGTTTGTGGCAAACACCTTGTTAGCCAGTGTCTCCATAATTTTACTCATGTTATTTACTAACTACAGCGAGAGGAATGTGGAAAAAAAATACAGGATAGGAGCAAGGAGGCTAAATAGGCAAATGATGAATGCAAAGCAGTTCTTTTAGGTTATTGCCATGTTTTGTTCTTCTGGCTGTGTGTTGAATTGAACTGTATCCTTAATTTTCCACCTCCCCATTTCTAGGCTGATTTAAGTAGTTGATAAAAACACAAATGAAGGAAAACTGAAAGTGCTCCACAGCAGATTCAGTATATTTTGTAATTGTTCATGTTTTAAAGTGACATGTCCACACAAAGAATAGGTGCAAGCCCTTGTCACTCTGCTCTTGATTGAATGTCTTGCCAGTAGAGGACATTGCCAATGTCTTGCCAGTTAAATCTGCATCATAAAGCAACGAAAGGAAGAATGTTCTTGTGGTTAAGACACGGGATAGGAGTCTGGGGCCCAGGGATCTATTCTTGGCTCAGTCACAGACTGCTTGTCTAACTTTGGGCAAATAACTTAGCTTCCTCATTTTAAATCAAGGATAATTTTCCAACCTCACAGGCTTGTTGTAAGATCATAGTCATTACTTTTGTTTTGTTTTTTTTATTTTTTGTTTAAAGAGCTGGTGCTTGCAGTGGTATTGATGAAACCCTGGTCTTTTAGGTCTATCATGCAGTGCATATATCCATGCCTGTTAAACTCCTTTCCCTGTCTTTATTTTCATCTTCAGTCTCAATTTTGAGATTATTTTGAGACCAATCAGTGGTATCCTTAGCATGTGCAGGACTGCAGACGTAATTTAGATTGCAACTTTGAACCTCTCCCTGCCCTCCCTTCATTTTAGCTTGTTCCTTTGTTTTATGCCCTCTGCATTTGATGTGCTCACAAATGACTGTTTTGGGGGATAGACCAGATGATAACGCTAGCCTGCCTTTTCATATATTCAGCTTGTGTTTTATTCTAAACTTTATTTTTTCCATGAAATAACCTCTATATTCCTCTTCTCCACCAATTTTATCCAGGAAGGATTTGCTGTGGATTTACTGTAGTGGGCATATCTCTGATTTCAAAGCTAGTCTGGAGTGTTTAAAGAATTGTTAACGTCCTCTTTCTCACTTGTCAAACCTTGTTTTGGAGGGTTACGGGGTTGTAAATCATCTTGTGAACCAAAACAGGGGGAATAAAGGTTCAAGATCAACTTAGATATGTGTCCCTCTTCCATTTAATTGTCAAATTATTTATCTTCTTTTTACCCAGGGTTTGACACAAAATGTGAAAGTTCACAATTTCTTCAGCGGGAAGAGGACAAGGAGATATAAAAATACCAGAAATTATCATTCTCAATATTTGACTGACTGGTCTCCTGTAACCTGAAGGTGAAATAGTTGATCCGTAAAATGAATGTGTAACAGGGCCTGGATAGGGAAAGAGGGCTCTTCAGAGTCATCCTGTCATGTCTTTAACCCTTCTCTTCACATAAGGTTCACTACCGTTGAGAGAGAATGACAGAAGCTCTTGTAAACTCCAACAAGAATACAAAAGGGGTTGGAACAACTCTATCAGAGGCAAGAGGGCTGGGATCCAGGAGGTTCTGCAGAAGTTAAAAAAGGAGAAAGTACTCTCTCCGCCTCCTTTCTTTTACAGTTCCCATTTTTTTCTTTTCATCTTGCCATTTTCCCTCATAGTCTTTTCTTTAGTCCTTCTGTTTACTTCCACTCTCACCACCCCACACACTCCACTGATGTCAGTAACTTGCTACTTCCTTCTCTGTCTCCCAACCACCTTTTGTTAATGATCTGTATGTGGACAAAGTCAGCAAAGGGAATGGGTTAGTGGCAGCAATAAAAATAAAACATATTTTAAAACATTGCAATGTAAAAATAGGAAGCCTTAATACAGATGGCGGGCATGGAAATACCCTGCGGTTTCATTTTGTGTTTCTTTTTAGGAATGGTATAACATACATGCTGAGTATGTGTGTTTGAAAGATCCTATTTCCAGATGTCAGAATACAATTTTCTACCATTTTTTGCTGTCAGATGTTTAAAAAAATTAAAAAGGGCTCTCCAAATAGCTTACTTTAATAGGTGAAAAGCAACAGTAGGCACAGAGTTTAATTCTGGGTTATGACGAGCTGTATAATATTCCATTTACCTCACAGAACATCTCACGGTAGGTTCCTTAATTCTACATTGGAGGATATTTTGTAAAGGAAAAATCAGAGAGATTACAGAGTGGTATTCATAAAACCAGAAATCTACTTTGTCACTCAAAATTCCAAAACATGATGGAGGCTTCAAAATTGTAGATAAATGGAATCCCATGGATTGCCTCTTTGAATATTTCAAAAGCTTTTGACAGGTCCTCTCAAAAGAGACTGTTGAAGAAATTAAATTACCTTGGATTAAAGGGTAAAGTCTTGCATCAGTTAGAAACTGATTGTACGGTTTAGAACAGAACTCATCTCGGAGTGAAGAGAAGTCAATAGTATGGTGTCTCAAGCAGTCGATTTTGGGGTCAGTGTTACATGTTTTCAATAAAGATTTGTGGAAGACACAGAGCAACTTGATGAAATTTGTTTATTTCACAATACTATTAACATTAGTAAAAACTACAGTAGGCATTACCAAACTCTCAGATCAATGTAGGAGACGGGGTAGCTAAAACAGCAGATGGAATTAAATAGATAAGTGTAAATTAACACAAATTAATTTAAACTCACACACACACTCTGCTCTGAAATAAATGGATTCTCTCAGGGAGGAGAAAATGGTTTGGGGGAGACCTCTTGAATTGCTCAATGAATGATTATCCCATTTGCAACATCATTTTAAGAGCATATAAGATTATTGTATATACTTCAAAAATGACTAGAAAAATCAGAAAATGTTGCTATGAAGTGATGATTCACCTTCACTTGGAGTAGTGTTTAATTTTGAATCCTCAACTCAAAAAGGATACACAGTATAGGTTATGGATTCAAATCCATCTCTGCTCAAAAGTAAAGTTATGGAAATTGGTTATCTACTGATTCTTTTTGGTGGAACTGTGTGAGATGAGTTGGTGATTCAGCTCAGTTCCTAGTGGGCATGTGTCTACATCCTAAATGCACCACCCCATTTGACAGAAATTGACACCCTCTTTGGTAATTTTAACAGAGAAGCCAATAAATATTTGGGAACCAAATTACTCTTTCCCTTTTTAGCTGGTCCCTGTAGAAGATGAAGATGATTAGTAATCACTTTGCCCCATAAAACGAGCGCCAGGGGACCTTCCAAGAATCTGAAAAAAAGTTAAAGGGTCATGGAAGATGGCATTTTATGCAATATGTAGTTAATTTATACTACAGAGGCTACTACAAGAAGTTATTGAAACAAATAGTTTGACAAGATTTTTAAAAGATTTTAATAATTTAATGAATATTAGTAACATTTGTAGCAACAAAAGCTACAGTTAAATCAGATGGAAGAGAGGTCAAGCTTCCTGCTTTATGGCACCTATTGATTGCCTGCGTGGGTTAGGTAAATACCCATGCCCCCATTTCTGATCATTATACAATGATTTTTATGTGGTATTTTTGTTGTTACTTGCCTCCAGAGCCCCTGGTATTGCCAACTGCAAGAAGTCGGATACCAGTTTGGTTCATTCAATGACAGTCCCCTGGTTTGGAATCTTGAGAACCAATAGAAAATGCGATGAGATCTTTTTGACCCAGTGGAAATGTGACTTTCTGCTGTACCACGTCCTGTTTTATTTCTGCACTACAAACTGTTGAACTGGATCCAAGGTAGAACTGTAAAAATACTCTGCATTATGCCATAGTTGGTTAGAACTCTGACCCATGTTTAAATTTTCTGTTTTATTGATAATAGGAAAACAGAATCTCTTTGTTAGCAGGATTTTTTGACTGATTAAAATAGCTGACTCGTTACACATTAATATTTACTTTAGTTGTGTAGTGCATGAATTCCTTTAATTGATCTCAATTAATGTAATAAAATTGGAAGGGAGGGGGTGGGGTCAGATTGCTATGACTGATGTTTTGGGAAGTAGCAACAACTATCCCTGTGCTGAACGAGGGGGGTTGCTCTAAACACTTCCTGCCTTTGTTCAGGTCATTGCAGCAGGATCTAAAAAAACAGACAAAAACGTAACAGATGGCAAATTGGTATAGGAACCAGACAGACATAGTCTAAGCACAGAACATATAGCTAAAGTGCAACTGCTTTATATTTGTTTAAAAGTCAAGCCACCCATGTGTGCATTGAATGCATGAAATATTGCAGAAGCAGAAAAGACTATCCAAGGAGCAAGAAGGTTGGAGTAGGGAGATCCTAATGGCTAGCTTTACTAAAAGCAAATTTGGTCAAGGTAACTTAATCTTACAATGTAATACAAGGTAACTCGCTTCTTACAATGTAATAAATAATTAACATAATTGTTACATTCACATAAGCGTTTTTCCTTCCCCTGTCTCTACCCTACAAATCTACCTGCATGTAGATCAGCTGCTCTCATGTCTTCTTTGTCCCAGCTAAAGGTAATTTTCAGGAATGAATAGTGCTTTTGTTGATGGGATGTGACTATGACCTACAGAATACTAGACTAGAGCTCCAGGCCTTGTTTGAAATAGAAAATTCGCCACAGATGAAAATTTATTTTTCCTTTAATGTATATACATCTTGAATAGAACTGGATCTGTCATAAAGTCTTGTCTTCATCTGGAATATGTAAATTATTATGTGCAAAAATCTGGTCAGGCTGAGATTTTAGTTACATATGTTAGGAAACTGAGAATTATAGGACCAAATTCTCTGGGTAGGGGAAGAGAGCAGGAAAGTAAGTGATGGCCCCAAAAGCTGTGTATGTAAAGGAGCTCGAGGAATGACTGATGGAAACTTCCTTGTAAGGGAGAACCTTGAATTGTGCTCCAGCCAGGACTGCAATAAAATGGAAGACATTCTAATTCCTTAGAGGATTCATGTCATCAACACATAGCTCCCAGTATAAAGCTATTTGTACTGCATGTCTTGTGACACTTGTTGTAGAATAGACATCACACCAGCATTTGCAACTTGTCCATGGTGGATGAGCTATGCCACTGACTCACTGTGTCTTAGGGCTGGTCCATTTTCTCATCTTTAAAAGGGGGAGCATACTTGTCTCTTACAGGAGGGCTGTTAGGTTTAGTTCCTTAATGTTTGTAAAATGCTTTGAAATCCTCAGACAGAAAGCCTTATAGAAATGCAAAATATCGGCATTATATTTTTAGAAGGACAAAGTCCATATGTTCTGGTTTGTTTTTAAACCTGGCTGGATTTTTGTTGAAGATGGAGAGTTTTCCTGTTTACCAGGCCTAATGGCACCTGTCAGATTCTGTACAAGAGGATAAGATCTTTCCAATTGATCTACTAGGAGAGATAAGCTCAGCTGCAGACACAGACTGATACTGATGCAGAACCCTTTGGGAGTTTTTAGGTAGATGACATCTTCAAATTCCAGGGCTCTGCTGTGGAATCCAGAATGTAATCAGAATTAAATAGCAGAGAACTTTATTTTTGTGCTGTTTGTTATGAATAAAAATGACTGTGCTTTACAAATATGAGCTTTGCTGGGTCCTGGGCTTTCCCATCCCTTGTTAATTACCTGTAGACAGTCAGTCTCTCTCTTCATCATCCTCCCAGCATCTATTATACCTCTAAGTCCTCTCCTGAAGCACTTTCATCTTTGCTATGAAAACCCCTTGAAAGAACCTTAATGAAAAATGTTCACTCATAGGGCTTGATGTGAAAAGTACTTTTTTCTTTCCTTGCCCATTGATTGAAAGTAATTTTAAAAAAGTAAAATTTGTGGCAACTGCTCTCCAAGGTCTCACTTCCAAATAGATCCTCTTCCCACCTCCCCCTCAAAAGTTAATACTTCTGAAATAGGGAGTATGAGGCTTCTGTCAGTTAAGTGTTATATATCTACCTTGTGTGTGAAACTCACTGGGACTTTATCTTCACTGTAGGATCACAAGGACTGCATTGTCTTAAAACCACTTCTGTAATTGTACTTCTTTTCCCCTCCTACTCCATGAGATAATAATGCCTGGCTGAGTGCATGGCCACTTCTCAATGCTGAGCAGGGACCTCTTACAGGGTGGCCATTCAGCTCTCCAGCCAATCAAGCATGGCCATGGGAGTTCTGGATTCCCAAGCTATCCAGAGCCACTCATGCAGCTCTGCAGAGTGGCATGGGGCAGTAGTCCATCTCTGGCCCCACCCCTGCTCCTCACATAGAAAACAACTTTTTCTTTCTAACCCCCCCCCCCAAACACCCTCCTTACTTCTTATGATCTTAGACCTTGAAGGCCTAAGCCCTTTGCCTTCCCAGTAGTTCTGTGCATGGCTCCCTTCATCTCCTAGTAACACAGATGCCACCAGCCTGTTAACAGAGAGCAGCAATGCTAAAGGGAGCTGTGCTGTATCGTGGCTGGAGGAGGCAGAAAGATTTGGCTCTGGACCTTGCAACAGAGAGATCCTGTTGCTTGCTATCCTGTAAGGCTCAAAACCCAGGAACATCTGCCTTCGCTGGGCACGAGAGGGAATCTGAAGGAAATAAGGGCCAACAGATTCGGGAAGTGAGAGTGTTTCCTGGCTGGCAGAGGAAAATTAGGTTGAGGTAGAGGCAAAAGAAGGGGACGGCAAACTGTGTTCTAGTCACTTACATATGCAGCATGGTCTAGGGGATAGAGCACTGGACTGGGACTCTGGAGACCTGGATTCTGGTCCCAGCTGTTCTACTGGCCTGCTTGGTGACCTTGGACAAGTCATTTCAACTCATGCTTCAGATTCTCCCTCTGTAAAATGAGGTTATGATTCTTACCTCCTTTTGTAAAGCACTTTGGGACCTATTGATGAAAAGCATTATATATAGCAGTAGCATTATATGCAAATCTCTTTCTCACTACCAGTTCAATAACACTTTGTTGGCATAACAAGCTATACAAGTGTTGTCATCATGTAAAAAGAAGACAGGTCTGTCCGAGTTAGAGTTAGACAGAGTGAATGGGATTTCTCCCCTGCTAGGCTGTTGTGTATCTCTGATTTGATGGCAGGTTGCTATCGCGCATGAAGCTATTTCTGCTTCAGGGTTATGCACAAGTTATCCTCTGCTGTTTTACGGAAGTCTTTGCTTTTTCTGATAACTGGAAGAAACACCTTTCTCAGACTTCCTTGTATTTAGATATTAAATTAAATGTAAATGTCTGTTTCTATTTCCCCTCTGTTTCATTCACTTCACAGTCATTTCTCCCTCAGGTTGGCCTGTGCTTTGTGTCTCCTAGTTTCCATCTCTATTTTCTAGCTGCCGAAGCCGTATTTGTTACCAGTCTGCCTTAGTTTTGTACAGTTCACTGTGGAGACAATAATCTACTGGTGTGTCCACTTTGTGCAAGGATTTCTCATGTTTTGGTTTGACCTTAGCAGCAATTCCTATTTGTGCCTACGTGTTATACTGAGTATTCTTCAGTTTTGTGTAAGGTTATTTTCTTCACTGCCTGGGAGGTTGATATTGATGAGATCTGGCAATGATATAGAAAAGTGTACTAGATTTTCATTGAGATTTGGTGTTTTGATCCTCTGCTGCTATGCAGTGAGGGGAGCATTTGTTACAGGAGTCTGGGCTTGAGAAAGCCCCCATTTCTTTTCTCTCCCTCCCAAAAGAAGTGAACTGAAAATCTCTGCTCACTAAAAGTGCTAATAAGGAAGCTCAGTGGCTTCATCGTGTCTGCCAGCAGTGATAACAGTCCTTCAGTGGTGTCTATGCTGGGAATTTGCCCTTGTTACAGCTGTCACTGTAGCTGCTTGAATTGGTATACCATTTGGTATATCGCTATAAGCTATACCAATTGCTGTTTATAGTGGCTTTGTCTGTCTACAAACTGGACACTGATAACTGAAGCCCCCAATGAGGAATATGCAAAAGGATGGTGGGGGAGTATAGTATCCATAGGTCAGTAGCTTAAGCGGGATGGGAAGAGAAACTCTCCTAGAGAATACAATACCACCAGCCATCACTTACCAGAAGCAAGATGACAGGAGGAACCCCGACCTTATTTTCCTATTTGTTGCCTGAGCTCAGATTTACTTAAAATTTCTTGGCAAACTATTATGCCCAAATATCTGAAGCCAATTCAAAGATTAAAAAGTTGAAACTGATGTGGAAGTCTCTTGGCTGTTATAGCAAAAGGGAGTTACCCTCAGGGATTTATTGTGAAGAAGTTTCCACTTCAAATTCTTCCCTTAACTTCGCTCTCCCTCCTCTCTCACTTTTTTTCTTTGCTCCTTTTACTTTTTTTTGGTAGCTTACCCTTCTAAGCATCAACTTTGTCAGACCTAGACTTCTTTGAACTACAGGTTCAAATTCCACCTGTACTGAGTCTGTCTTTTTCTTCATGGGTTTATGAACTGAGTACTATGTGGTTTACTCTGGTTCAGGTGAAACTTTAAAAACCAAGAGCCAAATTTTCAAGTAGTTACTGATTTAGGTTTTGGCTGCCCAGTTTGAAATACCTTGGGTCTGATTAATGGAGGTGCTGAGCTCTTGTTGACTTCAGTTACAGGGTGGGTGTAGCACTTTTGAAAAACATCAGATACAATCTGTCTGAAGGTGGGCACCCAAAAATCACTTTTGAAAACATTGACCCAAATTCCTCTCTGTCCTTGTTAAACTTTTAAAGATCTCCCACAAGAGCAGGGTATTGTTCTCACTTCTCTACCAGAAACTTCCTTTCCTGGGTAACAG